TTTTCTCCTGCTGGTATTATAATAAAGAAAAATTAATTACCAATCGAAACAAAAGAATCAATTTTCATATGATGTACATTAATTGATTTTATAATTATTAAAATTGTTATAACACTTATCTTATACACTACTGAACACTTAACCAGGTTGCTATAGAATATCAGTACTGTATTGCTATAGAACTGTTACCACACTAAGTAAATACAAAGGAGATATTTATTAGTAGTAGTGTTTCCTATTCTAAATTAATAAAATAGAAGAAGTCGCACAGCACCGCGATCCTAACGCAACTGGATCGAATTACTGAAGTATCGAATTAGACGTTGATTGAACACCTGCGTCACAAGAATACCTACCAGAGTTCTAGGACCTCGTGACAACGCACACTAGTTTAAAAAAGAAATCTGGTGCACCTTTCAGGACATGCAAAGAGCTTATGACTCTGTTAGCTGGAACATCCTTAAAAAATTATTAATACGTATCAAAATGAATCAAGCTTACATCAACTTTCTCGACAACATCCAAAATCATCGACATAATCAAGTATCTACTCTTTTTGATCTCACTGATCAATACAAAGTACATGATAAACTTGATCAAGACAAAGTTCACGCATCCATAATGTGGAGAATATTTTATGATCCACTTTTATGTCAAGTTAACACACTCAATGAACAAGTTGGCTACAACATGTTTATCAATAACAATCACTTCAAAATTCCAGGACTTATTCACCACTCATCAATCAACATTTCCAATATGACATATGTGGATGATACTAAAGATGGCGTGGCAACTGTTGCAACGTGATGACAAATAAAGCATCACCTAGTTGCAACTAGTTGCGGCTTATAAAATTTTGGAGTTGCAACGTGTTGCAACGGGTGACAAATAAGCGTCACATACTTGCTGCGTCATCTCTAGACGATACTGTATGGATAGCTAATTCCAGAAGTAATCTCCAAAAGATTTTTCTTGCAGCCAACCAATTCTTCGAAATGTGCGACATAGACATCAATGTCTTCAAAACAGATATCATCTGCTTAAATCAAAACAAGAATGATAACACTCCCCTACTGCTAGGTCATTCTTGGCTTAACATTTTAAACCAAATATCATTGAATGAATAAGTGAATATACTTTTTCTCTTTTAATTACATATTTTAAAACTTGTAAACAAATTAATTATTGATATTTATTTAATCACAATAAACTAATTCTTCATTATCAGCAGTCTTTATAGGACTGGGTCTTCATTAAAGTGAAAATTAATGACTAAAATTATCTGTCAATTTGATTTTTTATATTGCTTATAATTTATAATAATTTATTTTGTCTAAACAATGGACTGAGATCCTTATGTGAAACCCATTGGTTGAACATAATAAATTGAAAATCAAATTGATATGTCCTACTTTTTTATATTGTATGTTACAAGCTTTTCTTCTAATTATTATGGCTGGATTTGTATAGTGAATTTACTATGAAAACAATTTAATGTAATTGCGCCATTGATCATCAGTTTTAGCCAATCAACATGGTCAATTTCGATGTTGTATCAATGTGTCAATCAAGCCATCCAACATCGTTACACCGAAAATCTATAACTTTTGTACGCTAAAATTAGAACAAATGGTAAATACAACTAAACAATGAATACTATCAAAGTTAATTTTTTTTTATATCAATTGATGATTTGCCTTGCATTCAATATATATAAGAGTACTACATAACAAACAAGAGAATATGGTAACTAAAATTGGAATAGTTGTACATGACGCCAAGTGGCCAAAATGCTTTACATGTAGAACACCAATCATCCAGACATACACAGAACATACACCCAATTCGATTTCACTTCAATGTCCACGTTTTTCTTTCTTGATATAAAAACTTTTTTATGATGTTCTGCAGTGCAGTAGTCTTTAACAAATAACAACATCGAATTTTTTCCAAATAGAAATTCTTAATTGTGAATTTGAAAAATCTTTATGTTGCATTTTTTGCATGGTTGATAATTACAAACAAAAGAGAACAAGGTGGGCAATACGTATGATTTGCATGAACAAATAGTTATGTTGTGTAATACTCTGTGTATTTGGTTGTTTAGTATGTTACTTTCGGCCGTTTTCTTTTATTTAGTTGCTTAGATTTGAAATTAATAATTATTAAGTACATCATATGAAAATTGATTCTTTTGTTTCGATTGGTAATTAATTTTTCTTTATTATAATACCAGCAGGAGAAAAAATATTCTTTCGTAAAAACCAATAATCAATTAACTAATTAACAAATTAACAAATACACGCCTGCATGTCGCGATAATGTATTTAGTAAACGAAGAGAGAGAGAAATGGTAATCTAGAAGCTTCATTGGATGTACAATCATCTTATCGTTACACATGTATTATTTGTTTAATGATAAAGAAATCTAGATTGATCGACTATATTACATTTATTCGGCTTTGTTGTCTATTATTAGCATCATATCTTATTAGCACAATGAATTTTTATACTTTCAATCGAGATGATTATAGAATTGTATCTCGCAGGAAAAAAAACATTCGATTGTTCAGCAACTTGCGTCATTAATTTGAATTTCGTTTTTTTTATTTTTAAAGTGCAATTCGAAATTCAACTGTCAATCGTAGAATGATAAGCATTGTTTCTTCTTTTGATTAATTCTCTTATGCATCAACAATTAATTTAACAAACCTTAAATTCTCCAAACGACAAGAGCGCCAATGTACATTACACAGTAACAATGATTTGATTGGTTCCTCGCCGAATAAATTTCAATAACACTGCTCACTGTTTACTGAATTGCATACATATTTGGAAGTATAGATTATCTGTATAGGGCGAAGAAAAAGGCAAAAGAGGTGTACAAAATGGCAATAGTACAACAACTAGAATCAATACAATAGAAAAGTTCAATGATTGAATAGAAGAATGGTTGATTTCGCTGAGGTTACAAAAGGAACGCGCCGCTATGCGAACCTTCAAAACCTTAATCTTATCCACCATACACACATACGCGTCGGGCATTTTGAAATGCGCGTTTGTGGTTTAGGTATCTGATTCTATAACTATGATGTGCCTTTAAAAGAATAATTAATTATTTGAAAAAAAATGAGAAGAAATTAGAGAATAATTTTTTTCTTTATAAATACAAGGTTTATTTGGCAAGCCAAAAGGTTTTTTGAACTTACAGCAGCATTATGACCTAGAATGTTGAAAAGATAGACAAAAAAAGGAAGCCCCAGAAATTAACCGATTATTGAGTAAATTCTCGGGAGCACTTAACCCAAATCTTTAATAAGTTTGGTTTTTATTTTATCCCTTCTTCTCGTCTCGTATTCTACTGAGAAAGTTTTGATTGCGATATTTTCGACATTCATTGTGCGGTTTTTGAAAATTACTTGTTTAATCTATAGCGATAGTAACATCAACTTATTTGCCTAAATGAAAATACCAAATACGACATTAACCCGTTATTTATGTTAGCACAAATCTTTAATCATGCCACTTTTTCAATGACCCATTTAAAAACGAATCAACATCATTGGGACTTATAGAAATTTATTAATTAGATTTATTAATTTAATTAGATTAAGTAGATTTATGCAAAAACTATTTCTATTTTGTTAGTTAATTATTACAAAAAATTCAGGACAAGAATCGATTATGAAAGGGAATTGAATAACTTATATAAGCTATAGAAGAAGAAGGTGGTGGTGGTAAACTATGTAAGCTTTAAAAAAATCTTAGGGCATATTATATGTATAACATTAAACAAACGAAACTGAAACAAAAAAAAAACGCGAAATTTGGATGGTGATCTTGTCGTGACACTAAAAAATTGTAATCCTTTTTTGGTGATGGTGTTGAAGTTGAGACGTAGAATCAGAACCGGATGAGAGTGAGGGGCGATATATCGATTTTCTTTTTTGCGTATCGAGAAATATTACTAAATTGGAAAGAGATTCCAGCTTTTCAGTTTTCTCTCCTTATTTAGTGAAAGTAATCCTTTTTTGGTGACTTTACGAGCCGAAAAATAGAGAAATTGAAACGAAAAGGACCGAAGAAATAGAAATGCATAAAAAGTGTTGGGAATTACCAAGCAAAATATTGCTAAAACGGAATAGGGAAAAGAAGTGTCCATTAATAAATTATATTTAATAATTTTTTACAGATATAAAGAGAAAGAAATGGTGATATTATATATATACGTACAAGTTTTATTGATATAAAAAATTATATATTTGGGAAAAAAAAACAAAAGTAAACAAAATATACAAAAAAGTTTTATCTATTAATTGTGCCAAAGAAATATCAAATAAGAAATAACCAATTCAAAGGCAAATTTCCAAACCACTACTGTATGAAGAGAATGCTGAAGAAGTATAAACACCGCCACAAGTTGCTTCATCATTTTGCTGTTCATGTCCAGTAGTGGTATTGTAAGGATGAAATGCGACATTGTGATTATGTGAGAAAGGGAAAGTAATAGCGGTGGATGATGATGTTAGAGTTGTGGAATAGGGAGTCGTATTATACAAAGTTGCGGAATTGGGTGTTGTCGATACAGAATCATGAGAGAAAGTTGGAGAATGCCATTCACCCGGCGATGAATTAGGTGAGTAAGGACTGGAATCAAATAAGTTCACATCTATTGTATTCTCGTTATCTTTGCCAAGTACATCATCGTATAGCGGATTAAAATTCATATCAATCGGAATTGAAGGGGATGAAGGTGAATTAAGATATGAATTAGTTGTGGTTGAATAATTCGAAAAAGTTAATGAGATGCTACCATTTGTTCTCAAGTTGGTGGCATATTGCTCCAATAATGCAGATTTTTTGAATCGCAATAATTCTTTAAATAGTGCAATTGTTTTTGTATAATAAATTTCCGCATTATTCTCATTGCTATTGTCATTATTACTGCCACTGTTGTTATTTGCACTATTATTAGAAGTCTCATTTGAACTTCTAATCACGTTCTTTGCCTGAATCTTTCCTGCCTCAAATAGACACCAATTTGTGCAATTGAAAAAGCCTTTGAATAGTGCGCCATATTTATGCACGAGTTGGTCAGCTAAATCTGTGATGCAATTTGCTGCCAAGGTACACTTTTCGAATGAAGAGTCAATGTTTCGTTCGTGTAAAATGATTGTCAAAGTATGACAAAGCATTGTAAAGTGCAATTGATTCGGTGTTTCATTATTGCCATTGTTATTGGGATTTGTTTGTTCATAAGTAGCATTATTGTTGTTTAGACGGGGATTTGGGAGATGTAAAACAAAAGGAGTCAATTCTCCCAAATCGAAAATATTAGGTGTTCGGTGCTCATAATGGAAACTACTTCGCTTACTTGAAATTAATTCATTTTGGAGGACTTTGCAGAATTTTATTTGTTGATTGAATTCCGAAAATTCTTGGTTCGGCTCATTTACACTACAATCTTCTAAATCAATGCTGCTCGTTTTCCCAGCAACGCTGCATATTAAGACATCCAGCATGAATAATGACCACCACAATCTTCGCCTAGACTCTTTTTGTGGAGTTGTGTAATTTGGGTCTTGACATTCTTTGTTTAAACCAAGTTCTTTTGCCATGCCAATTGCAATTGTTGCGTACATTCTACCACGAAATAATTCTTCGTCATCTTCTTCATTTTCAATTAGTAGTTCCTGACTACCATCTCCGCCTGCTCGCTGTTGATGTTGAAAATATTGTTGCTGGTAGACGCACAAAAGAATTAAAGCTGCAATTGTTGATGCTCTCGGATTGTCTAATAATCGATCGAGCAAAGAACGTGCTTTGTTATAATAATTGCTTCGTTCGGGAGCATACTCCGTGAACCCAGCAGAGACTGCGAAGATTGAATAGAGTAAAAGAGGCGAAAGAGGTTCCGATTCATTTTGAATGAAATCCGAGTCAATTACGGGAACATAAGGATGAACGTGTTCCAAGAACGCTTTTAATAAAGTTTCCGAGATCAATGGAGAAATCGAGCAGGTTTCGAGAACAGACTTAGGAATTTTAGTTTCGGATTTAGCATATTCAATGTACGTAAATGGTTGCCAGTTAGTGATTGAAGGGGTGGGTGGTTGTCGCTCGGAAGGATAAGTTGGAATAGTTATATGGAATTCGTCGGTTCTTGGACGTTTAGAGGAGGAATGACGAGATAAATCATCGTTTCTCTGATATTTCTGCGATTCTTCTTTGGTGTTTTTGCTGTTCATGTTACCGTTTTTACTATTGTTATTATCGTTGAGATTGGATGAGTTATTCAAATTTTGATTATCATTGTCGTTGTTAACCTTTTTGGGGATAGGGACATATTGGCAATCTTTATTGCCTCTTTCACAATTAGAGCATCGTTTCTGTCCGTCGCATCTTATTTTTCTTTTACGACAATAAGAACACGCGACTGGAACTCGTTGTCTTCGGTTGGAATATGGATCTCGTTGCCACAGATACTGACGTTCTTGTTGATGTTGCTGATTCATTATTGCACGGTGTTTCGTTAATAATTGGAATATTTGTATCGTTGTGTTTTTTTAGTCGTTCTATTGTTTGATTATTATTTCGTTAGATGAAGATTAATAACGTGATGAACTTCAATTGATAATGCGCGAAAATAGCAATCAATACTCACCACGGGTATATAGAAAAAAGTCTAATCAGCTAACTAGAATGATAGAAACGATATATTTTTTATAATTGATTGGATTAATTGTGGTATTTTCAAAGTTGTGAGAAAGCAAGCTAGATAGATAGATATATATATATTTGTATATATATAATGGAGTATTAAAAAGGGAATGATGGAATGCGTGCGTGTTGTGTTGATTTGGATGTATGGTACACGAAACTTTATTTATTATTTATAATAAGGGAATTTAAAATAAGATATAAATAAATGTGATAATATAAATATATATATATAAAGAAGTTGATTCTTATTGGATGTTGAATGGATGTATAAAAAAAGAATAAAAACAATCCGTGATCATAATCGAAGAGATAAGGTGGATGTGGATAGTGAATGTTTCTCTTCTAGTAGATATCGTGCTCTTTATCTTAGATCAGCTATATATTGTTCGTGTTTTTTGTAGTTTTGGTAATAGTGGGATAGTAAAGTAGGTATTACTGGGTAGAAAGAAAGGGGACCCTGAGAGGTGGCAATTCTAAAGTGACGAGAAGACGAATTCTTGATGCTTTATATGTTTTGCGTGGTTAAAGAAACTATGTGGAGAAATATTTTTTTCCACATGCTCTAAATATTTTTTTTCGTGTCTGTGTGTTTACTTGACGCATAAAAGGACACATTTAAAAAAAAGTATTATTATTACTTGTATTTATTTTGTTATTTTATTTTATTTTATTAAATAGTATAATAAAGCACATATATATATATATGTTATTATATTAAAAACTAAATTACATGACATTTCAGTATATTGTCGATTTGTTTGTGGTTTGTGTGACGTTAGCCACAAGCCTGGGATCCACATTCGGTTAATGTCTGCCTTCCCATGTTACAATGACCGATTTTCGTTTAACACCCGCCACTAGATGTACTCGTGACTTGCAGAAATCGATGCCGTGTTCAGTCGTTTGGATCTTTGATGCGAAAAATGACGCGATTTCTTTTCTTTTGAAGAGAAGAATTGATCGTTCGGAATTTAGAGCCCGCGCGTACTCATTTCATTATTTTTTTTTGGTAGAAACTCATGATCGAATTTTTAATTTGCTTATTAGCATGTTTTATTTTAGAATCTTGGTATTGTTATTTGAATAAATCAAAACATCCTTATGCACCTTATTGAGCACTCTTGATAGATCCGGGACCTGCAAAGGAATGTCCCCGCTATCCAAAGAAGCACCAGAAAAAAATTGCCTTTCGGTGTAGGGAAGTTTCGGGGTGTAAATAAACGGTGCTGACTGGCTTTTCTCCTACTTCTAAGCTTTACGTGACATCTCCGATATTGTACCAAAGTCACACCAGCCATAAAAAAAAAACAAAGAAGGTCAAGCGGAATAGACCACGAATTAACAAACAAAAAAAAAAGTGAAACAAGAAGGAATCAATATACACGTTGATTGTATCAATAACAAAGTTAATAGCGCGCAAAGATAGATTTGAATTCGGTTAATTCGTTCACTTTTAATACAAACACAACATACCAAGTAAATTGTGTATTACGTTCTTTGCTTTTGTCGGTAGTTCGGACATTGTATTTTCATTATCTTTTCTTTCCTGTGCACTCTATATACTCTATATGTATGTAGTATGTTTTTATGCTAATCACTTGTAAGTTTATTTAACCAATCAATCAATCAATCAATTAGATAATAACATTGTAATCACGTGATCACGGAATATCTTAATGATATATCCTTTTTCGATGACGATTAGATTTTAATTGTTTACCAAAATTTTGTGGCGAAAAATTACGATGTGGTACAAGTAAATATATAATTGAAACTCATCGACTGTAATACGTAGAAATCCATGTGCAATTAATATCTTATCTCATCAACTGCAACTCTATGTTCTAGCCAAGTCTGGAATTGGCCCGTTTTAGGATGAAGTCATGTGAGACCAATTATTTATAGACTTAATTTTATCGAGGCCGAGATCAAATCCAGAACGTCTATTCGATTTTTATTTTTTTGTCTTCGAGATGTAACAACATACGATAAAGGTTAAATTTTGTAATGAGCGCACAATAGATATGAAATAACAATTTTTTATGATATGAAGACTTTAAAATTAGTCTGTGTCCTCGGCCGTTAAAAACGAATGACTTGCACAACACAATGATACTGTGTGGCGATATCAGTTGATGTGGCTAACATTTTTATTTATAGAAAATCATGTGATATACTCTGCCGTTCTTGGATTAAAAATTTCTTCGCCGTCTTTGTAGTAATTGAACTACACACATGATATTTCTTTATGCATTAGTTATCTGGTTAATTAAATTAAAAATATCAATATCGATATTTGACTTGCAAAAAGATCTTTCGAGAATCCTAATAAACAATCTATAATGAAAGTAATCAAAAAAAATCTTAATTGTGTGTCGGTCGGTTTATTTGGTTGGTGTTTAATATTTTCATTTCTCTTATTTCCCCTGAATATAACATTGATCAGGTATCAAACTGCTCGAAAACGGAAAGGGAACCAATCGGAGTAAACGTTTTCATATTGATGTTTTCTTTTATTCTTATTATCATTATCATACACTTGTTCACTTCATCTCACGCCATCTTTCTTCTTTTTGATTCAAATATGGAAAAAATTCAGTTAACAACGTTCGTACAATAGAAAAATATTCCGAACGATAACGATAATATTAATTTCATGCATTGACTGCATTAATCAAGTCTATCTAAGGATTTTAAGTTCATATAGTCTAAAATAACAATACGTCAATTGACGTTTGTACGACGATATGTTTCATTTCCTCTTTTGTTCGCCATCTTTGGTTTTAGGTGACTTAGAATTCGGCGTGAACAAAGTTATTTTAGACATCCCCCTCCCCCCATGTATGTACATAGTGACTCTTAAAGTGTATCAAAAAAATCTATTTTCAGAACAGTATTTATCGTTATTTAAATATTAATTCATTTTATCGAGATTTTGATTAGTCCCCCACTATAAAGACTGTCTACCATAAAGAGTGTGCACAAGTGGAAAATCATTGCTGAGTATGGTCTCAATAGCTTTAAGGTATTAATAACTTAAATTCTTTGCATTAGATAAAATTGAAGTTTATTATTAAGAGCTATCAAAATTTGAAATATAGTCAATAGATCTATAGATGCATCATCTACAAGCGTGCATTGATAAACAGTGTGCATGTAGAGAATACTAGAACCTACAGCTTTGGGACCGAACCAGAGTGCGTGTACATAGAAAGTGTAAATAAATTTAAGGCATTACACCGATAAAAGTTAAAAATTATGTGATTAAGCGCGCGTCATGTTATTGTTCAGTTGGTTGGTGGACCTGAAACAATCTTGATTGGTGTAGTTTTTCTTCGCTTGTTTCAAGAGGACATAACATGAGAAATAGCGAAAATTAACCGGCAAGTGGGACAGAATTATTCTATAGAATTAAATCTAATGGTGAGAGTGAGACAATGGAATCTAAAATTAGCTTTTAGAGCATTTAAAACCAATTTTCGCGTCATTCAAAAAGTTTAGTATATAGTCGCTAGTGTGATTTTGAACATTAAGAAGACATTGCTCGCTGAATGCCTCAAATTCAGCAAAAAATTGCTCGTCAAGTTCTATATTTTCAAGCGAAAAGTTTTTAGTTTCTTTCTTGTAAAGAAAGGAGACTGAAGATAAGTATATTATTTGATATAAAGCTGAGGCAAGCAAAAATTTTAATTTGAAAGAATTACAAATAAGCATGTATAAAACGCCAAAAAAAGATTGTAAAGTGGACAAATACTGAAATAACAATAAAAAACGTCTTTGCATTATAATAACAACAATAATAATTAAGATATAGTTTCTTTAATGAAATTTCTTTGTATAGCAAAAAATTGTCTAATTGATTAATTGGTTCTATTTTTACAATAGTATTATGTCGAAAACTTTTGTGAAACTTTTGTGAGTGTATGCGTCTGCATAATTTAAAATGGCTGATGTCAAATGAACGTAACTTTTCTGAAATTTACACGCGATTTAGATCCATGGTTTACTAATAATAATATTTGGTGATACAATGCAAGATACAAGTTTTGTTATCAAATCAAATATAGTATCACGCATGTGTAATTATTTGTACAAGCACGCACACTGTGAAATTCTTTTTCTCTGGATTCTTGGTAGTATGGTATGGTTATTTATATATGAAATTTCTTCTTATTCTGGTATTAACCATGATAGTAATTAGCAATAAATAGCGTTTAACAACGCCAAATAATCATACATAATAAAACAAAATAGGAACTATAAGATTATGTGTGCAGATTTTTTTTGAGCATTTTCACAATGATTTTCTTTATTTGTTAACGATTTACAGCCAAAATGTTATCTTAATCTCACGCGTTCATCTTGTATTTTTGTGTTTCTTCTGTTTTTAGTAAGTGAAGGACAATGACGAAGTTCGGCCGCTAGAGAAAAACATTACCGGAATTGTAACAAAATTCCGGAATAACTCAATAAAAACGAAAGGTGAATACAGGACTGGAATCAAGCTTGGCACTTCTATGATCGGTTTAAATTGTACCTTGTTTCGTGTAGAATATTTGTTTACTTGGAGACAAGCAATCGAGGTTTATCTGTGTTACGCATTTTTTCATACGGTAATTTTTTTACCACATAAAGAAAAAGTTTTAATTCGATGACACTATTACATAATAGTCATTATAGAATCAAATCATATGTTGTGCAATGTAGAACCATTGGAAAAAGTTTTAATTAGATGCTAGAATCAAATCATATGTTGTGCAATGTAAAACCATGGAATGGTTATACAAAGCAC